ATCTTAATTGTACTCCTGTAATTCCCAAGTGTTGTGGGAGGGACCCGGTGAGAGATAACTGAATCAAGGCGGCAGTTTCTCCCATAATGTTCTGGTAGTGAATAAGTTTCACGAGATCTCATGGTTTGATAAAGGGAAACCCATCTTGCTTGGCTCTCATTCTCTATTGTCGCCGCCATGTGAGAGGTGCCTTTCACCATCATTGTGAGGCCTCCCCAGCCACGTGGAACTGTAAGTCTGACAACCTTCTTTCTTTTGTAAATTGCCCGGTCTGGGGTATGTCTTCATTGGCAATGTGAAAGCGGACTAATACAATGTCCTACTGCCCAAGCTTAAAATCCTCCAATGCAGTACTATCCAAAAATTCAATACAGCACCATCTAAGAGAAATACAATGCTAGTCCCATATGTAATTTTATGTTTTCTGGTAGTCACATTAAAAAAGTAAAAATAAATAGGTAAAATTACTTTTACAAGATTTGTGTTGTATCCAACATATTATAATTGCAAACTTGAATTAGAAAAAACAACTCTGTCTTTAAAAGTTGATATGGGTTTTATACTTACTTAAACTAGTCACATTTCCAGTCTCAATAACCACAAGTCGCTAATAACTAGCATAACAAATAGTGACAGCTGGGCGCGATGGTTCACACCTGTAATCCCAGCGCTTTGGGAGGCTGAGGCGGGCGGATCACCTGAGGTAAGGAGTTTGAGACCAGCCTGGCCAACCTGGCGAAACCTCGTCTCTACTAAAAATACAAAAATCAGCCGGGCGTGGTGGTGTGCACCTGTAATCCTAGCTACTAGGGAGGCTGAGACAGGAGAATCATCTGAACCTAGGAGGTGGAGGTTGCAGTGAGCTGGTGTCACATCACTGTACTCCAGCCTGGGCGACAGAGCTAGACTACGTCTCAAAAAAAAGTGACGCTCCAAAGGATTTTATCATTCGTACTCTAAAAACTGACATCTTTTTAACACACCTACATGGTCCACCATGGTCTGGCATCTGCTTACCTTCCAGCCTCACCATTACAACTATCCCCGCATCCTTCTCTACTAACTACATAGATCTTCTTGTGGTTCCTCTAACACACCGTGCTCCCTGTAGACACTGGGCCTTTACACAAACCCCTTCCCAGTGGAAAGTGCTCAATGCCTGGGGGTCTACGATGCTTCTCAAAGGTGTTCTCTTCTCCTGTGTCTGACCTATAGAAAACCTCCCCATATATTTGTGTAACATATAAACTGATGGCCTGAATATACTGCGAAGAGAAGCAGAACAAAGGTAAATTTAATAATCTTCATTAAAACAGCTACCATTTCTTGAGCCTACCGTGCATCACCTCATCTAATCTTCACAATAAGCCCAGTAGATAGGTCTGAAGAACCCCATTTTACAGGGAAGAAACAGGTTCTGAGAGGTAAGATCCTCAGCCAAGAACATATTGTAGTAAGAAACAAGGACTTCAAACACAAGTCTGACTCCAGAGTCAGTTCTCTAAAAACAGTATGTTATACTCTGTCCATAGAACATTGGCTTCTGGGCCTGAAATATTAAAAACTAAAACTGAATGAAGTAATATAGTTACCAAGTTGTACTCACTCGTTTCCGTCGCTGTGAAGGGGCCTATTTTCTTCAACTAAAAACAGTAATAGCTCCCACTTACTGAGGGCTTACCGTAAGACAGTGTTTAGAGATTTACTTATATAGATGTTTTCATTTATATCCGCATGATACCCCACTGAAGTCAGATCATCTCGACTTAACAGGAAAAACTGAAGCTTAAGTAAATTTTCCTGGCGAGGAAATACAGTCTATCAAATTGGGTACTGGAAGCAGCTTTCCCCGCTCGCAGTCCGGGGATCGCTCAGGGTCTTCAAGGCCACCGCCACAAAGGTGACACTCTCATAGTTATCCCGACTGTTTCCCTGAAGACGCAGGCCTGGTCTGGCCGGGCACGAATACCATCAATGGGGCTCAGGACAGTGGCTTCCTTTTCGGTCCGCCGTCCTCGCTCCCTCCTCAACAACTGAGGGCTCATTACCCCCGTGAGGACATATCCAATAATTAGGAGCCTTCGACCCATTTTCTCAGGTTCCCCAATTCCCCTTCGCCCGAAAGTTCTAAAAATATTTTCTTACCCAGTCCCGCCGCAGCTGGTCCCAAGTCCATCCGAGACAAGCCAAGCCAATCTCGTAATGTTTACTTCCGGCTTCTCGCCTCATTCCGGCGGCCACTGCGGTAACTTCCGGACGATCGGCACATGCGCACTAATTTCCTGGTGGGACGCGGGGCGGAGTGGAGGCCTTTGGTCCTCTTGCGCCGTGGGAATCGCGAGAACTCTAGCTGTGCGTATCGCGCTATTTACCCGGCTTGTGGAGAGATTCAAGTTGGGCGGGTTCTTTTAGCTTCTATTTAGGAACTTTCTTTTAGAATCGGAGAATTTTAGGAAGTTAAAAAAAAAAAAAAAAAAAAAAGCCAAAACAGACAAGAGCTTAAGCCTTACCAGGGGGCTGTGAAATGAATGCAGAATTTGGTGATGTATCAGCTGAAAAAAAAAAAAAAAGGCAGTTAAACTTGGCAGTAACTAGTAGCCAGGCTGTGTAACATGCTGGGGATCTGGTGAACACAGTGTCTTCCCTCAAATTTACATCAGAGTGCGAAAGACACCGAAACAACTATTCAGATAATTTAGCAGTTGTAAAAGTTGCTAGGAAAGGAATACCGGGTGCTGTAAGAACATAAGGCACGTTATCATTAGGAAAAAACACGACGATTTCCATTTTGGAGAAACATTAGTATCTATGCTATCCCATCCCTTCTTTAAAAGTATACATGTGAAATAAAATACTGGAAAATAAACTAATTTTCGTAGTAGAATTTCTTGTGATTTTTTTTTTCTTTGTGCTTTCTATTCTGGTTGTTCTCCCCCTCCCCCCCATAACGTGTATCCTTTTTGAATGTAAAAGTTAAAATAGCTACCATTCCTGCCTCAATAAAATAGCCCAACATAATAGAATCTATTTTTTTCGTATTAAGAATTTGCAATACCTGGAGTTTAGGAGCATAAATATTAATTTTGCTTTTACAGGGCAGTAGATGAAGAAACAGAGACTGTCGTGAAAGTGAGTAGAGTCTATAAATCACTCAGGCTTTGTTTTTTTCCACTTAAAAACATTCCTGAAATTTGCTTAGGAGTGTTAAGGTCTAATTAGCCAAAACCACCAGGAGAGCACATCTCGAAGAAGAATCAGAAAGCCCAGGACAAGAGAGTTGAATCTTTTCTAAGACTTGAGGTCCCTCTGGAGGATTCTGAGGAAGGTCTAGGAAAGCCAGGATTGGTTCTGGATGGGTTGCTGTTTGTAAAGCAGGATTAGGAGAAACTGATTAGGGACTAAGTGCTGTTATGAGTGAGGGTGGTTTAGCAATTGAGTATTTCCAGTAATAGTAATAGCAAAGCTGGTCTGAGGGCATCATTAGTAAGAAAACAGTGGTTATTCAAAGAGAGGGTGGTTATGGTTTACAGCTGATGCATGACTTTGGGAGAAACAATGCTTTCTGTTGGTGAAACAAAGAAGACATCCTAAGGAGATAAACCTTGCACCCCAAAACTTCTGTAGATAGAGAATCCCCACTTCGAAGCTATAGGTGTTGTAAAGATTTAGTCTCAAAAATTAACACTTTGAGTGCTGATAATATAATATGATGATGTAAAATTTAGGAGATACAGGAGGAAATAAGGGGTGGGAATAAAGGAGAGAGCAGTGAAGGGACAATAAAGGTATGTATATTTTTCTGTCTTTCCTCTTTTCTTCACCTTAAGTTAGGCTCTTTTCTTCTTGATACCTAGTATAAAGTCCACCATTTAATAGGTATTCAATAAATATTTGTGAATGAATGAATCATTCAATCAATATTGGTCCTGAAATGCCAGGGAAGAAGAGATGATGAACTGGCATATATTGAGAACCATGTCTATGTCAGGTATAATGTTAAGCCTTTTGTGAAAGAGTAATATGGAATCAACTCCTCTCTCTCAGCTGATCTGCAGGTGTAAAATGTATATATGGTGACCTGTGGGAAGCCGAGTTTGAATGACACAGGTCAGCCTTATCTTTTGAATGTATACGTTTATCTTGTGGTTGTTCAGTGTATTCCATTTTACTATAGAAACAGGAAAAGGTCGTCAACTTTTTCAAGCAAAATTTCTTTTCATATCTGAGAAACTGGAATTCCTTTTTTATATCTTTATTATCTCTCTGATGTTCTCTTGCTCCCTGGCCAAGCCCTTCCAGACAGCTTTGGTTAGTGTATTATTGAGATGTTAGAGGTTTAAAATAAATCAGTATTAAATGATAGGATTTTAAGGGAAGACTAAATTATGTATTCATTAGAATCATAATTTTGTTCCTAAAACAGATTCGTGATGGTATAACAGAAACAGCATCTTAGCCTGAAGTATTGAGGATAATCCTCAGATTAGGGAATGATTAGTTCGTTCTTAATCATAAGCATAAGAGAATGACTCAAACGCTGCTGTTTGATCTATCTGTACTTACATTTCTTCTTAATTTTAAATTTTTCTCTCCTAGTATTCTTTAGACCCAACGTTGGTTGTTTCTACCATTTCTACAATATTTCTATTTATTTTCCATCCTTTCTACGGTGCCATTTAAATAAATATATCTTAAAGCAATAAAACATTGTTATTGAGTCAGTACCACAGTCCATGCAGCTTAATAATATGGAAAGCAAAAAAAAAGCCTCTCAATTTTTTTTTTTTAATATTACACGACCCTAGATTCTTTTCCCCCAGAAAACGTGCCACAAAGTTTGCAAGAAAGCGCTTTTGGGGCGGAGTCCTGGCTGCTTAGGTCCCTTCCATTGGTTCGGCTTGGTGACCACGCCCCCGGCCCCGCCTCTTGAGCGGAAGAGCCAATTGGGCCGCGAGTTGTGGTTTAAACCGGGAGTGCGCCGCGTCCGTTCACCGCCGCCTTAGACGAATGTGGCTGTTGGAAGCTGCGTGAGTGAACTGGAGGGTCGCGGCTGGTTAGGTGAGCGTGGTCGGGTGGGGAAGGAGGCGGGCTGGGGCCGGGCTGGGGCTGAAGCTGGGGCTGGGGCTGGGGTTGGGGTTGGGGGACTGCCTGGGGCGTAGATGGCTCCAAGCCCGTTTGAGCGCGGTCTCGGACTGCGAACTGGACCCACGGCAATTCTCTGAAGAGTGCCAGCCCCAAACCGCCTGCTCCTTGGGACCTTAGAGCCTCTGACTCAGGCTGGAAGATTTGAGAGCTGGATTAAGTACTTGTTGGCTCACGCCCGTGACTGTCCCTCTGTTTAGCTCTTGTTTTTGTGTGGACATCCCTAGGATAAAAACTTTGGTATGTTGCTATACCTTTGCTTCTCCCACCTTCCCCAGTATCTAATATGTATTTCTCATTTTTAGAATAATCCAGAATGGCTACTCTAATCTATGTTGATAAGGAAAATGGAGAACCAGGCACCCGTGTGGCTGCTAAGGATGGGCTGAAGTTGGGGTCTGGACCTTGTAAGTACACAAGGCTGCAGTCGGATACACTGCTATTGTGTACGTGGCCTGGAGCTGGACGAGACATTTAGTGTACTTTTTGGGCAAATGGAGTCAAGTCTGTTATTGGTCCTTTTTCATTTTCAGTATCTTAATGAGATGCTTTATGGGAGTACTGAATCTCAGCTATTAGGCCTATCATAGCCATACCACTACCAATAATGGGGGGGTGGGGTTTGGGGGTGAGAGTTAGGTCAAGTTTACATACACAGTATTCAAGTTGTACAGGTATTTTGCTGCTGGAATATTCTTATAGTAAGACTTTTTCTTCAGCAATCAAAGCCTTAGATGGGAGATCTCAAGTTTCAACACCACGTTTTGGCAAAACGTTCGATGCTCCACCAGCCTTACCTAAAGCTACAAGAAAGGCTTTGGGAACCGTCAACAGAGCTACCGAAAAGTCTGTAAAGACCAAGGGACCCCTCAAACAAAAACAGCCAAACTTTTCTGCCAAAAAGGTAAGTGTTGGCTATAAAGACACTGTTTAAACACTTAAGCGCTTTTGACTCTTAAAATGACGATTGGCATCATCCTACCCAGCTTTCTTCCCTCTGAGTAGAAGGGAGATAGAGGTTAGCAAGCAGAGTAGTGGAGGAAACTCAGATTGTCCTTGTGGACCTCTTGGTGCCTTGAGATTGGAAATCTCAGATGTAGCTAATGCATATTTGTCCCTCACCTGTCCTTAACTAGTGTCTTAAAACTGGTTGGTGGTATCTACTTACAGATACGTACTGAGAGAGAGGGTGCCTTAAGAGGTTCTGTTGCTGCTATAATAGCACAGGTGTTGCCATTCTCTGCCTAGCCTTCCAGGGCAAGCAGCAGCTTGTTAGGTGACAATTTGCTAGCATGTTGATGTTTGTGTGAGTGTGGGTCACAAGCTACAGGTCTGTGTATCCCAGACTGAGAGCACTTTGCTGTGAAAGTTGACGTTAGCATGAGGATTAACACTTTATTTGAATAACTGTTCTGTTTAATTTGCATTAGGAAACAACTGGTGAATTACATGTGGTGCAACTTAGGACAAGGATGTCTTTTTAAAAAAGTGAATTAACTTAAAAATATTAAATACAGGAATTGCAAAGATATGGCAAAAACAATGAGACACAGAACCGAAGTGTGGGAACCCCATAGGGAGTTCTAGGCATGCATATGTGAGGTGAGATAAATCAGGAATATGCCGGCTTCCATTGTAGCACCCTTCTGTAGTAGACTGTAGTAGACCCGTCAACTCCAGACTAGGAGATTGCCCATGGCGTTTTTCTAAAGTCCTTGACAGTGTCTTGCTGCCTCTTACTCAGTGTATTTGAGGAACACAAACTTGTTTTTAATATTAACCAAGTACATAATTAGGTAACACTTGCAGAAAAAGCACACTCCTATAAGCCAAAAATGGCTTTGATGATTAGCTACTATCCTGGGTGATTCATGCCCGTTTTCTCCTCTGTTAGGTTGAATAATTGCGTTGATTAGCTCTGAATTAACTCTGCATTCTTGATAACTTACGCTGACAGGTGCTGGTACTTACATTTCAGATTTTAACTTTTGAGTCATGCTACTCGAATTACATTTGAATCATATTATTTGAAGTATATTTAGGTGTAATTATGAAAACTAAGGATTATGGCTTCTTAGAAGGCAGCATGAAATTGACAAATTTAAAAACTAATCAGCTAATAAGACATCCACTCTCACTAACCCATATTTTCTTCGGCTGTTCTAGATGACTGAGAAGACTGTTAAAACCAAAAGCTCTGTTCCTGCCTCAGATGATGCCTATCCAGAAATAGAAAAATTCTTTCCCTTCAATCCTCTAGGTAGTATCTTTTGTAATTGCAAAAAGTGCTTTTGGCCTTTAGTTTCTTAGTATTCAGCTCAGCTGTAACTTGATATGAATATAATATATGACCAAAAACTATAATGAGACTGTCTGAATCTGGGTCGTTTTGGACAAATGTACTTGTTGATGGAATTATTTGCAAGGTATCATCTTAGATCAGGAGGGAAATAGGAACAAAGATACAGAAGACATTGTTCCTGTCTGTAAAAGCTTATCACCTAGAGGAGGTAAGATGTATTCATGAATATTGAATAAGTCCCATTGTGGACAGTCTTTCTCACAAGCCTTTTAGAAAGTGAGCTTTATGTCAATGCCTGAGAGTGCTTTGGTAGGATTATTTCTTTGGTTAGAAAAATCTACATAAGACAGTGAAGACGTGTTTTTCAAATTTCTGCAACCTGCTACATGTATCTGAAGTATTTTCTGTTTTGGAAACAGCTTTTCAAGCTTTAATTTACTCAGCCATTTGAGGAGAAGCCACTGTGTGTCAGGCATCGCTAGGTGCTGGACACACTGTTTAACAAGATGGGCCCTGCCTATGGGAGCCCACAATTTGAAGGGAAAGTCAGATGCTGGACAAGCCATCTCATTGTGAGTGTGAGCCGGAAAAAAGAGCATTGTAGGTCAAAGTGGTGCAAAGATCCTGAGGTAGGAAAAGGGACTGAAGTGGTTCTAGGAAAAATACAGGCACAGTGAAGGAGGATACAGGTGAGGCGTGGGGGCAGATCAGGGAGGGCCTTACAGATTTCTGAGCTGGATCTTTTACCCTTTTATTTAGCCAAAGAGGTCATGTAGTTATTCTTTTACTAATTTGCATTCAGATTGTTCTGGCTTTTAGAAACTACAAACATTTCTACGATTAGTATTCTTGAAATGATCTCGTTGCAAGTTTGTGAGTACATCAGGAGGGAAACTGAGAAGGATTGCTGGGTTCGAGGGTTTGTGTGATTAAGTTTTAAAATTATAAAATGTGGTGCATCCGTGCTAATAATTATCATTCAGCCATTGGGGAAAATGAGGTAGATTTATGCATATTGATCAAGAATGAAGACCACAATATCGTGTGTTAGAGGAAAGAGATATTGCTAAGTGGCCCTTCAAAATAGTGTAAATTGTTAAATCCATCTACAGTAGATGAAGATGGCTGCTTCCTCCATGTTCACTAACTATCAATGTTTTAAAACTCTAATCTTTATCAGAAAAGAAATATTTCATTGTTTTAAATTTGTGTGGTGAGCATATTTGATTATTGGCCACTTAGTTTTTCTTTTATTAACTTCCTGTTTGTGTTTTTCTTTGATTAAAGAGCTCTTTGTAGATAAAATTAGCTCCCCTTATATTGCAGACTTCTTTCCTTTGGAGTCTTTTGTCTGTTTATGATTTCCTTTACAATTCAGTGGTTTTAAGCTAAGTAGTCACATATCATTCAATTCTTTCTTGCCTTCTGGGTTTTACCAGGCTTGAAAAAGAACAGACTAATTCTTGAGTACTTAGGCTTTAGAGAATTTCATACCTAAGGACAAAGATTTAGAAATTAAAACTGAAAACTTAAGATATTCACTAAGTAATCACATTACATTAATGTAAATTTTTTTTTAGCATAAAATATTTGTTTTGGAAAAGTTTTGAGAAGAATGGCATGGTTTATATTTTTGAAAAATATATGAAGAAAACCTGACCTCACACAGATATGTTTTTAATAGTCTTTTCAGATAAGTGTGGATAGTTTTCTTTGCCACTACACTAAAACCCACAAGTGGCTGTTTCTGAATGTATAATTGCAATGTGGAATCTAAAGCCATATCAATGAGCATTTTGTATCTTGACAGTAAAATCCATCGGTCTGTTTTGCACTTGGAGTGTATCTTTTATTCTTGCATCTGTCTTGCATTGATCATTCAGAAATATTCACTGAGATATGTAGATACCTATATGTTGAGATGCTTTATTATACAATATCAAAAGCACATTAATATCACAACTGATCTCATCAGAAAAGTCTAAGGCACCTGTCAAGCTAATGACTGCAGATAAGTTTTCCAAAATTCCTTCTTTTGGCCAGACACAGTGGCTCATGCCTGTAATCCCAGCACTTTGGGAGGCAAGGCTGGCAGATCCCCTGAGGTCAGGAGTTCAAGACCAGCCTGGCCAACATGGTGAAACCCCGTCTCTACTAAAAATACAAAAATTATCCGGGCGTGGTGGGTGCGCCTGTAATCCCAGCTACTTGGGAGACTGAGGCAGGAGAATTGCTTGAACCCGGGAGGCAGAGGTTGCAGTAAACAGAGATTGTGCCACTGCACTGCAGCCTAGGTGAAAGAGTGAGACTCTGTCTCAAAAAAAAAAAAAATTCATTTTTTTGTTTTTGACAAAATTTTGTCATTTTATATTCTGCCGTTGGTAACAAAGCCTGTCAGTTTTCCTTGAGGTGATAGACTTCTTTCATGCCTTTGAGAAGAAGTGTGACAGGCATCCAGGTCTGAGTGACCATGGGATTTCTTGCAGTTGTTAATTCAAGTAAAAATAGTATTCCAGGAAAAAGTTCTCTAGTTTTAGGTTGCAACTCAGACAATTGCACAAATCCTTTTGCTTTGAGATAATCGTATTTTGGTGTGCAGTGGAAGTGCTTTATGGCATACTTCTCATTTTATCACATAGAACATTAAAAAGACATCTTCTCAAGGATGGAGAGCTAATAAAATTAATACTTTCTACTGCATATGGTGAAGTGACATTAAGTGAAACTGGCATTTTTAAACTACAAGTGCAGAAAGATGCAGAACATAGAGACTGCTCCTATGGTTTACTGTCACTGCCTTGATTTGTGTTGAGGCACCAGCAGCTTTATCCACCATTGCCTTGGTACCATCATCACAAATGTCAACCCAGTGGGAAAAGGTGTGAATATTGTCATGAAAATAGTTTTGACCTCATGGACCCCCGAAAGTGTCTCAGACCACAAGGAGTTTACAGCCCACGCTGAGAACTGCTGCTCTGACAAAAACACTTTCTCTCTGTAACAGACTTTGAGAGTTTTGACCTGCCTGAAGAGCACCAGATTGCGCACCTCCCCTTGAGTGGAGTGCCTCTCATGATCCTTGACGAGGAGAGAGAGCTTGAAAAGCTGTTTCAGCTGGGCCCCCCTTCACCTGTGAAGATGCCCTCTCCACCATGGGAATCCAGTAAGTGAGCAAGTGCCCTTCTAGAAGGGCTGCAAACAATTTGTTTCATAACACTTCCATTACCGTGGGAACAAAGTTGTGCGAGAGGTGAGCCTGTGAGTCATTTCTGTCCTTCAAATGACAAGGATAAGGTTTCAGAAAAATAAACTATTCTCAATTGGTATTGCTTTTTGGTCCCAAATGCCCCAGTAAAATTGTTATTCTGGAAACTGGGTAGTCTTAATTAAAAGATTAATTCTCACATCTTCTTAGGCTGTAAGTTGAAGCATATATAATAAACTTGTTTGGAATGATGATTCCATGTTATATCCAAAGCTAATATAAGATCCAAACACCTGTGCTGTGGCATAGACTGACAATAATTTCTTACTGCAGAAGGTTTGAGGTCTTTGTTTGAACGGGTAGTCAAAGCCATCATTATGTTTTCTGTTTGTTCTGATGTGGGATAATTTGTGCTAATAAGTTACATGAGTGAGACTGTTAGCTCTTACTTTGGTCTCTGAGAGATTCAGATACTTATAAGACTTACTTCCTAATGAAAGTCAATTCTGGGGCCACAGACATATTCCAAAAAGTGTGTGTCAGGAGGGGATATGGAGGTGATTGATCAGACAAAGGGAAAAACATGAGTTTTTGACAGCTGATATCTATGTTGATATGGACAATGACTCAACGATTTGCAGAAATTTAATAAGAGATTCCTGTTTTCTAGATCTGTTGCAGTCTCCTTCAAGCATTCTGTCGACCCTGGATGTTGAATTGCCACCTGTTTGCTGTGACATAGATATTTAAATTTCTTAGTGCTTCAGAGTTTGTGCGTATTTGTATTAATAAAGCATTCTTTAACAGATTCTTCCAAGTATTGTGTTTGCTTTTCCGTGGAGTTTACTTAAAACAATATGAAAGCTAGCCAAGGTGTTTAACAAAGAGTCTATAATGTGACAATAGAGATTTGTCTGATTTCTAAAAACTTAAATCCTTTTGGTTTAACAGCTTATTTTAGAAGCCACCACTGTTTTTCCTGAAAAGTATACCCCTCAATGTATACTTTATTGACTTTTTGCAGCCATTAACTAGTGAGTTATTAGATCTCTTAATTAGAAGAGCTCCTTCCAACTCATTAAGTATCTATTGCTAGGCATTCTTTATTGCTGGTTTGCCTTAGTTTCTAATGACTTTAGTACTCAGTATTGAAAGGCTCTAAATCTGAGAATTCAACTTCCTTGGGATCTTCAATTAGGTTCCTTGAAGATCACTGAAGATAATTTACTGATAGTAAGGTCTACACTCCACCTATAGGAAACTGTATTTAGTTATTTACCTTGTGTTGGACATGAGTATTTGAGAAGCATTATTGTGTTTAATGTTTGACACTATTTTCCAGATAAGACAATGAAGCTCAGAAGTTCATTGATTTGTCAAAGATGTGAAGAGCTAGAAAACGCTAGAGCTGGTATTTTGATCTCAGTTCTGAGGTTGGAATCAAAATAGAGATGGCAAATAGTTGCTCATAGGTTTTTTTTTTTTTTTTTAGGGAGGGGGTAGATATTTTAAAAACCTTAATCATTTCCACTATTTAAAATTCCAATGTTTCACCAATCTGGCTTTGGAGAGTTCTTGAAAAGAGATGGGTCCATAGTAGACCCTATTTCTGTTACTTGCTGGGGTTGGAGGTGGATTGCTGCTGCTGCCTTTTGGGTAGAATGTAGGCTTTCTATCCCACAGACCCTGCCTTAAATGGCCTTAGTGAGAACTGAAGTGATCCTTTTACTTTTTGTGTCTCTTCTCAGACCTAGCCTGCTTAACTCACTTGACTTGCTTGGGCCCTGTAGTCACCTGAATTTGACCCTTGCTTGATGCTAAGTTACATAAGAAGTCTTTCCCTTGATATATCAGTAGCTTCTATGGTCAAGTTAGAATGTGAACCCTTTGGCATTGTTACTGAGGGAAGTTGAAGGATATTAGGTGTGAAATACTAAGAACACCCACAACTGCTTATCCTGATTTTAAAACTTTTTACCTTCTAAATATAACTGAATCCGTGTGACTTTCTGGAATTAGTAGAAAGGCAGACTTCTAGGAGAAGATAATACCATAAGACTACTAGGGCATTTGGCTTTAGGAGAGAGTTAGATTTAGCATCTTCAGGTAAAATAGGACTGCTAAGAAAAGCAAAGTATAGGTTGGACACAGTGGCTCACACTGGTAATCTCAGCACTTGAGAGTGTGAGGCGGGAGGACTGCTTGATCCCAGGAGCTCAAGATCAACCTGGGCCATGTAGTAAGACCCTTGTCTCTAAAAAAATTAAAAATAATTAGCGGGGTGTGGTGGCGCGTACCTGTAGTCCTAGTCTCAGGAGGTTGAGGCAGGAGGATTGCTTGAGCCCAGGAGTTCAAGCTTACAACTTGAGTGGCTATAATGCCACTGTAATCCAGCCTGGGTGGTAGAGTGAGACACTCAAAAACAACGAAAAAAGCAAAGTGTAGTTCTGAATGGCTTTCATACTCTGCAACACAAACTGAAGCTTTGGAAAATTGTCTTTTGTGGTAGAGGGAACCAAGGGCTGGCAGCAAGGAGACTAGTCAGTCCCTTACCAATTAATTGCTGTCCTCTGGGTCACAACTGAGTATGGAGGGATCTGATCTTTTCATCTGCTGTTAATCAGATTGCAGTGTGCATAATGTGTGTTGAGACTGAGAACTTTAAGCAGATGCTCCTCCATTAATACAGATAATTTGCATCTTGTGGGGGTTGTTGCTATTTTGTTAAGTTCTGACACTTTTTGAAATAAGACAGACTTTATTCATACCTTTACAACTCTGCAATCCTACCTTTCTCTACACCACCTTTGAGACTGCCTCTCAGGATCCTGTACCTTCTTAGAGTAGGAGCTAACAGTCAGGAATGCCATTATCTTGCTACCATTTCTTCTTTCTTACCACAAGTTGTATTTTCCTACTTCTTTGCATGCCAGCCATGGATTTTACCTTTTTTCATGCTGGGTGTTTTAAAAATTCTATTAATATTCTTATCCTTTGTTCTGGAGTATGGGTAAGGTACCTAGAAGCAATTTGATTCATTTGAGACTTGCCTTTAAGGTTAGGCATCACCAGAGCAGCATTTAGCCCAGGGCTAATTTCCCACTGCTACTGAAGCGCCAGACGCTTAGGATTCTGCCACTCCCTGAATTATGAGGTTTTCCTGTCTAGCTGATGGGAGAAGACACTATTCCCAGCCCTGTGTGGGCTTCAGGAATTCTTCCCTCTGATCTTTTCAGCTTGTTTTCTTATGCATATATGGATCCGCGCCCTTCTGAATATTACAGGGAGACCCCCTACAAATTTCCAGGGTTCTCTCTGTGCAGCTCTCTCCTCTCCAGTGCTGTGCTCTGCAAACGTGGCCTGCCTTGGCCTGACTCTCTGCTCTGTCTCTTCAACTCAGGAAATTCACTGGGCTCTGCCTGCCTCCCTCCCTTCCCTACTCTGAGGCCTGGAAACTCAAAAGTAGCCAGTGAGGACAGTCATCAGCCTCACCTCACTTATCTCACATTCCTCAGGCATTGCTATTCTTCGTCGCCTGATGTCTGCTGTTTGGGAAGCCCTTGTTTCATCTATTTTGTCTTGTTTTTTAGTTTCAGGCAGGAGAGTAAATCTGGTCCATGTTACTCCATCTTGATTGCCTTTGAAAGTTCCTTCCAGGTATTCCCCTTTTTTTTTTTTTTTTTTTTTGTATTTTTAGTAGAGATGGGGTCCATGTTAGCCTGGATGGTCTTGATCTCCTCACCTCGTGATCCACCCACCTCGGCCTCCCAAAGTGCTGGGATTACAGGCATGAGCCACCATGCCTATCCTTTTTTTTTTTTTTTTTTTTTAAATTGACGTAACATTCACGTAAGAATTCATTTAAAAACGTACAATTCAGTGACTTTTAGTTCATGCAGTATATGCAACTATCACCACTATCTAATTTCAGAACACTTTCATCACCCCCAAAAATAAACCCACGCCCATCAAGCACTCATTCCCCACTTCATTTACTTTGGAATGATGTCCCTCTGCCACCCGGATGAAGTCTGAGTTGCTCAGTGTGGCTCACATGGCCTTGTGGTGGCTCCTTGGGGTTGTAAATTTCCTCTCCTCATTCACCTGGTTCACACCTGTCCATCTCTAGTACTCCAGTGAGATGCTTTTCTTACCAGAAGCCTTTTCTGATACCCTAAGATCAGACTATGTATCCCCCAATTTGCTCAATTAGCCCCTCACCTTAGCTTTTTCCTTGCACTTACCATGCTCAGCTGTGTCTGGCCCTCTCCGCTATACTGGGAGCTGGATGAGGTGTGTCCTGTGCAGTGGTGTATTCTCTGCCTGGCATGTGACAGGTGCTCAGGGACTTGCTGAAATGAGTTAAGATGTCATCAGTCCCTGGGGATCCATGTTCCTAGAGACCCAGTGACTGCATTGTACCCACTGTTAGCATCACACAGTATCAGGGCCAGGGAGCCTGACTTCAAGGTTTCCAGAGAGAGAGTGGCGGGGGCAGGCACAAGTCTAGGAGGTCAGCTTCTCCCACCCTAGACAGTTCCTGGTCATCTGTTTGCCCGTGCCCCGCCAAGCCCAGGTATAACCTGTTTACCAAGAAGCTCCAGCTCTGCGGGGGAAATATAAACTGGGTTTCTTTCTTCCTTAATTGCCACCAGCCATGTTTTGTTGACCCATCCTCCTTTCTGGGTGGTGGGTGATGCTGAGCAGCATTCAGACAGATTTCACAGCTTTCCAGGTACTTTTGGTTAAAATTAAACTTTGCTTATTTTAAAACTCGAGGTTCAAACCTATTTCAGGTTCTTCTCCCTTTCCCCCAGGACAGGCGAGAGCTCGGCAAAAGCCCATGTGTATGCTCTGCTCACCACACATGTCCCCTCTCCCCGTCCGGTGTTAGGACCCTTGTAGGGGCTTAGTCCAGCCCCAAGCCTGGGAGGACAGCTGGAGGGAGAAGAGAGTCTGCTCCTGTGACAGGCTACTTGTTGGCTATGGGGAAGGTGCTGGCTTCGTTTTGGCTGTTGCGCTCTGTACCATGCTGGCAGCCTCGCTCATGGGCAGGTCCTTATGTAGAGAATCACCCTCTCCTCCATGGCTGTCCCTCCTGAGAATGGCAGCCTGGCTCTCTTCCCACACCTTTCTCAGGTGGGTCCTCCTATTGCTTGGTCCAGGGGCTGTCCATGGCCTCTGCCCTTCCACTATTAACCACTGGGGTCTTTTCCATATTCTTTGAGGGCTGCAGAACCAGGATGGGGTGAAGGTTTCCCTGTAGGCCTGAGTACTCTAGCAGGTGTCCCACTGTGAGAAATCTCTGGGCCAGGAGCAGGTACCAATCTTCAAGTTGCAGTCAGTCTCCACATGCCGATGATCCTCTCCTTCTCCCCACAGTGCAGTGAGAAGACTCAAAAGGAGGCACCAATAGTCCCAGAATGCTCTCTCAAGAGCCCTCGCTCTCACCAGTCTTGGTTCTGTTGGTGGCACCAGCATGGGCTTAACTATTTCTCCTTCAACTCAGCAGATGTGTATCTGGGGGTGAGAGGCCATTCTCCCCTTCCTGAAGATTCCTATCTTTTTGTGTTCATTTAAAGCTTTTCATGGCTGCAGGAAGGAGAGGAACACCTCTCCCACCATGGACACGGCTTTTCTCTGCAAACACCCCAAAAGTGGACCACCTCCTCTATCAAGCCTCTTTCTGCTTCTGATGGTTGATGCTCCTAGGACTGGCATCTCTTGGCAAGCCCTGAGCTAACTTTAGAATATGCTATACTCAGTGGCTTTTGGGGGCCTTAGCTGCATGTTTTCAAGCAATAGGAAC